TCCCTGCTCTACCTGATTGTCAGCTGATGACTTCAAGACAATCTTACATGGGTGTATCCTTATCAGTGAACCTCCGTCTTTGAGAAGTACTTGGTTTGCTAAGTGGCCAACAACTGTCGCTGGTCCTAACCAAGGTCCTTTCACTTTAGTCCTCTTATAATACACCTGATCTCCACTCACGTACTGATGATTCCATGCTGCATCTTGTACTCTTTCCTGTAACACTCTCTTGAACTTACTAGTGTTCTCCAACTTGATAAAACTGCTCCGAGCTGCTGCTAGAGCATTAAGATGGTCGGCAAGAATCTTACTGCTGGTTTCGTCATTAAGTGCGGGAAGATGATCTGTGTTCTGTAAAACTCCGGGTATTTCAGGATTGCGACCAAACACTAGTTGATGTGGACTAAAACCATAAACATTAGCTAGTGAGTTCTTAGCATTAATCGCCCACGAGATAGCGATGTCTATGTTACAGTTAGTGTCATTGAGAACTGCCTCTATCATTTCTGACAACAAACCGTTGTGTCTTTCTACCGTACCATTGCAGAAAGGAGACTCCGCTGGGGTAGTTCTAACCTTGATATTCAATACAGCACACATTTCCAGAAACTTTTCATTATTGAACTCACCACCATTATCTGACAAAATGAGTCCAGGTCTTCCGAAAATAACAATCCACTTGTCAAATAACTTAGTCATTATTTCATCAGCTTCCTTACTCTTTATGGCTGCAGCCGCAGCATAGCGAGTAACAGGATCTATTATGTGCAAGATCCACTGTCCACCGTTGAGCATCTTCAAATCAATAGCTATGACGTCATTGAACTTTTGTCCCATTGGTAGGGCTACTTTGCGATGTGGCTTTTCTTTGGATTTATGTTGTTTACAGAAATCACACGAACCTTCCACTTTTCTGAGTGCATTCAGTATCTCCTTCTCATTCGGAAGCTGCATGGTCTTTACAAACTGAATGATCTTTGACGTAGAACCATGGGCGAAATATTTATGCAGATGTTCAGCACACTTCACTGAGTCGGTACTGACATGGAATGTGAGGTGCTGCTCTGTAGTGTCCAACAAATCTGTTTGGCTGATAGAACTTTCACATCGTCCTATGGGTATCATCATGTGTCCTGACTTGGTGATCACTAGATTCTCCTCTCCTCCAAGGGCATACACTTTGTCAGTTTCATTATCGATCTTCATCTTCATCTTTTTCATAGACTCTCTGGACAGTAACAAAGGAATATCATTATCCACAACAAACACGCTTAAAGTAACTTTCTGACCACATATTGTTACTGGGAGTTCTTTCTGTATCTTAGCTGTAACTGCATCTCCATCCCCGAAACGAAAATTCTTCTCACAAGGAGTCACCTTGACCTCTTCATGTTCAGCTGATGTGAGAGATTCCTCGAAGACTGTCAGCCATTTCTTTCCACACACTGTGGAACTAGCACCTGTATCTAAAAGTGCTCTATTTGTCGATTCTCCCATAAGATACGTGAGGCACTCGTCTTCGTCTTCTAGTTGGAAATCAGACTCAAAGAATGCAAGCTTCTTCCCTCCAAATGTGTTGTACTTACAGTCTCTCATTATATGGTCTGTTTCCTTACAAATATGACAACGTAAGGGTCCTGATCGTTGTTCTTGTGCTCCTTGTCTGGGTCTAAATGGAGCTTGTTGATACACGTTCCCTGAACTCTGTCCTTGAAATGCAGGTCTTTGTCCAAAGGTTCTTTGTCCGAAGGATCTTTGTCCAAAAGGTCTTTGACTGTAGGGTCTTTGTCCAAAGGTTCTTGGTCTAAAAGGTCTTTTAGATGAGTAAAAATCCCTGTGCTGTTGATGTCTTTGTTGATAAAAGACTTCCTGGGGATCTTCTTCCTGGTTGCTCTGGTCATCCCCTTCATACTCTACCTCGAACTCAGGCTCTGAGGCTGATGGGTATGACAATTCATCAAAGTGTTCAGATTTGTTGACGTCGTACTGTTGGAAGTACGTGTTTACAGGCTCTTCTTTAATCTTTGGTTTTCCGATGGCATATGTTCCACCGCTTGCGCCGCTTGCGCTTGATGAAGAAGAAGATGTATTAGTATAATCTTCTCCGTATGCTCTCTTAAGCTGGGATTCCATATTCTCGTAGCTTAACTTAGAGACCGTTGCCCTGATCAACGTCTTTTGATGGTCCGAGAGATTAGCATGATGTAAAAGGAAGTACGCTAGTACTCCATCTTCAAATACCACAGTAGTACCACGCTTCTGCACAAGGCTCTTGTAACGATGGCTAAATTCTCTCACATACTCTTCCATGGTCACTTCCTTGGGTCTTCTGTAGTTCATGAAACTGTCAATGGATGTAAAGACTGACTGTGTCTGGTCTTTTTCATATAACTTATCCAGTTCCTTAATGAGAACATCTATTCCTCCATCTTTGGATAACTCATCCACGTCTAGCTGTATAGCCACAGCTTCTGGCTTTCCGGACATATGCATGATTAATGCAGCTGCTCCTGCTTCAGGCTTGACCGTGGTTACCTTCTTCCACCACTGAACTCTCCGTTTCCAATCTGAATAGTTGGACTTCTCATCGAGAACAGGTACTTTGTCACTTCCCATGATGGATGTAGAAGAATCTGAAAGCTGAAATCGGGTGTTAGGTGTTAAGTGTTAGTTAAAATATACAAAAAATAAATACGGTCCGGTGTAACGTAGTTCTTCCTGCTACCACTGTTGGAACCCTGTTCTTGGGTTAATTAAATAACAAATAATACTCAATTATTATAAATACAAATTAGATGAATAAAGAGGTTATACAAATAAATGGTTATTTAGAATATATATTCGCATGTATCCACACTATATTTACATTACACGTTCAACGTGATATCATTATCAGTGCAGTGTGTACAACACCAACTACACCGAGTCCCTAGTTTTTCAGAGTTAATCATCACATATAGACAGCATGAGAGTAGGCCTGGCCATCTCGAAGTGATACAAATAAATGGTGTTTCAAATGTAACCTTGTTACTCTATGTACTCACCCTCAAATAGTGAATGAGTGATTAAATGGTGATTGGTGTGACTCAGTTACTCACGCTGCTCTAACTAATACACAATTCAAAACTAAATTAAATAATGTCTTTTTACTATTAGATTAAACTACTATTAAATTAAAACTACTACTCCTGATGATGATGTTCTTCTTACTATATGAGGTACTTCTGAATGATGAGGACTTCAACTAAACTGGAACTGATAACTATAATAAAAAACAAAACCCTGGGGGAAAACTACCGTGAGTAAAGTGAAAGGTAATCCACGTGAAACTATAAATGAAAGTGAAAGAGGAAGCGGGAACTCCTAGACTAAACTACTAAACTATAACTATAAACTACTTACCACTCTTTCCACGTCACAGAACACAGATAGTATCTGTCGACTGGAATCTGTGGGATCACTAAAACAACGTCACTCCTCTCCCTTCTGCTACGCTAGAGTCTGGAGTCGACAACGTCACTCCTCTCCCTTCTGCTTCGCTAGAGTCTGGAGTCAACTAAACACTGGACACTCCTCTCTCTTCTGTTACTTCAACTAGAGTCTGGAGTCGAGCCTTGTCTGCCTTCTGGAGTCCCTTTACCCCAACACTGTATATACAATCACTGGAACTAAACCTTTGCTAAAGTGAGATACAGGGTTAGTAATATGAAGTACAAAAACAAGCTACAAATAGAATTAAGATTCTAACAGTTACTCTTCCTTACAGCCCTAGACAGGAATACCTCAATTTGTCAACGCTGGTTGAGTGGCGAATACGTGGGTACCTCATAGAAGCTTTTAAAAGAACAAGTTGTTTGACTGATTATGGATTGGCGATGTTTAGAATTAGCAGATCCGGTCTTAATCTTGTTTCAAGCAACAGATGTAGTTGGACAGTTGTCTGTCAAACAATTCTACTGGACTTTATAGCCCCTGCTAATGAATCAGCCCCCGCTAATTTCGTTTTTACCCCATCAAAAATATAAATCCTAACCAGTGGCAAGAAATATAGCTGATTTTTATGTAAAACACATGGTTTATTATATTATATATTAAGTTATTTACCCAGAGAATTTTTGTATAAATTGATTTGAATAATTGCATTAAGAAAATACTTCTTGAATTTATGGTATAATTTCTGAGTACGCTTAAATCACCTTCTGGGTAAAGACAGGTTTTTAAATAAAATATATTTAAAAAAAAGCTTTTACTCCATTTTCGTCATAAGTAGAACTATAATGGACCTGAACAGTACAGACGATTTGAAGATACGACCTGGGAATCTGTCAGATAAAAAGACAATAACCACCCTGGTTAACAAAACTTACACGAAAATGTCAGCAAATATTTACAAAGACACACGCATACGATTAACTGACAAAGAGTTTGACCTATATTGCGCTAAAAAAGAATTGTTTGTTGCTGTGAAATCAGGAAATATTGTTGGCTGTGTAGTGTTGGTAAGGGTAAGTGAAACTGAAAAAGATCTCTCCATGCTGGTAGTTAGCCCTCAGTCTCGAAGACAAGGTATAGGGAGAAAGCTTGTTGATTTTGCTTTGGATTTAGCTAGGACAGATGGCTGTCAAACAGTTCTACTGGACATTCTAGCCCCCGCTAATGTATCAGACCCTAGGAGAGAAGCTTTAAAAAAGTGGTACAGCAGTCTTGGATTTGAGTTTGTTAAAAATCGGGACTTTTTAGAATTCCATCCAGCTGCCAAGGATCATCTCATTACAGATGTGACTTATTCTTTGTTTGCAAAGAAGTTGTAAGATCCTTGAATACAGCTTGTTTTATGATATTTAAATTGTTTTATTGCTATTTCTATTTCCAACTGTATAGATGATAGCAGACACCATTGTTGGTACTTTACCTTGAATTCTCATTGCACTTGTGTACCTACATTTTTGAATGAAGCCAAACTTTTTGAAAATGATGTTAATATAATTCTAATATTCAACAGCAGATAAGATAAATGTCATGGCATGAGCTTATGTTACAAGTCCTCTATTTGCTTCTACTCTGTATAAGGTAAATGTATTATTTATACACTATTTTATTATTTCTTCCAATGTGAACTATGATCGATATTTCAATAAAATTTGGTGTTTAAAAAAGTAAGCAACTCCAAAGTCCAAGCTATTTTAGGTTATTACTTCAGGTACACTCGCCAACAAGATGTGCCTCCTAACGCCATGCCCTATCCACAGTTCTTCCTTCAACCTCAGAAACAATCAGTTAAAAGAGAGGTACACTTTTATCTTAGCCTTTAAATCAATCTTTTTCTTTGTTTTAGAAGACGTAATGCCTCTTAAAAGTGATCTGCTGAGTTAAGAACCAGGCACTGAAACAATATCTTTCAGATGACGACTACTATAGACTGTGGCGCGTATGGGGGAATAGGAAATCTAACCTACACATTCTTCAAGGGAGATTCCCCTCAGTATAATATGATGAGTAGAGTAAGTAGTTTATTATGTTTGTTCAACAGTTAACTAACAAATAGTGTGACTTTACCAAATAATACGCCCTGTATACATTTTCATCAAATTGTTGAACATAGCAGATATGATGATAATTTTATCTGTTGATATAATAGCAGTAGATAATATTATGATAATTTTTTCTGCTGAAGCTTTTTTTAATTTTATAACATCACTGAGATAATTTTCTTGTTTTAAAGGCCTATTTTTAATAATCCACGTCAGAAATCGTCAGATCTTTACCACAGCTTATCGACCAGGGTAAAAGCAAAGTTTGCGGTGTTGGGATTTGAATGAAGTTGTTGTATTCGGGATTTTCTTTGCTTTGCACTTTCAAATACATCATTAATGGGGTTTGTTTAGCAACGTCATGTTCGTAGATATTTTAGTGAAGAAACTGGAAAGGATAAGAATACTCTGCCACAACACCAACCCAATGTTTTTATTTTGACAACCACAGTGAAGCTAACATGTTAATTACATGGTGGTTCATATTCACATAGCCGGAAGCACACAGGTAACACAGTCACTTCGATATTCCAATTAGCAAGCTATTAAAGGTGTGTGTTTGTTTATTTACATTTAACAGTACGGTAACACTCGTATGTGTTATGCAGCTGTCTGTCTGTTTGTCTAGGTAGATCTGAGCAAAACGGGTGTTGTGCGTTTTTCCTTTCGGTTATTCATATTTATATACATATTTAATTTAGTATTATTGTAAATTCAACTTTTCTGTGCTGTATAAGCGTTATCAGTGAAATGCATTGTTGGAAATGTTACAATTTGCTGTAGTAGCATCTCGCACACTATTTTGTCGTCTGATTGTTCTCCGGGACTTCTGTGCCACGATGGGAAAGTACTTTTAAAACTCCCATCCAAATTGTTTGTTTTTATCTAAAAAGTTTAAAATTTCAAACATTCGTTCCCGTGCATGTTTGAACAAGTTTAAAAATCTCGGCAATTTATTGATTTATTTCTGAAGCCTGTTTACTGGTTTATCACGCGAAAAGTTTAGGTTGTTGAATGACATTTTTTAATGTAAACACTGGCTAATAATAAGGTGGTGCCAGTTTAAATAGGACCTCTAACTTGTCTGTGTTTCTCTGACGTGCCATTTTCGACAGCATATTATGAGATGCTCGCGATTAGTCTATGATGTAAGCTTATTGATAACTTGCTGTCATGTTTTTAAAATAATGGTACACCACTTCAAAACAACACCTTCCATTAAGATAATAGTACTTATAACTATAACATGTATAAGTTATTAGTAATAAGCAAAATATTTACTAATTGTTACTAACTACCATCTCCTTCAGTTAAAATCAGTAGAAGCAGACCCTGACACCCAGATCTCATCCTACTTCATCCCCAAAGTAAGCAGTGAAGATGCAGCCTATTACCAGTGTGTTGTTAGTGATGATGCTGGGGTTATCATATACAGCAATGTTATCTACCTTCAAGTCGTGGACAATTGTAAGTTCATTATATATTACTGATCATAAAAAAATTGGGAAAATCATGATTTTCTCTGGATGAGATATAGCTTTCATTTTAGTGCACTTAAGTTGTATCGCACAGTGTAAATCCTAACACCAAACTTCTCACTGAATAGCTCCTCTTGATAAAATATAAACATATTATACCCCAATCTCTTTGAGCCCCTCCTCCTCGCAGATCTAACGCGAGGTTTTCCGGTATTAGAGGACAGGCTGCTTCTCTCCACCGCGCGCCTGCACGTGCTGAGATGTAAGATGCCCGCGTCTAACCCCCCTGCTTTACCAAGGTGGTTCAAGGACAATGTCCCTATTAATCAGGTACAGTACAGTGAATTTAATAGTTTATTTGAGGGTTAGGTAATGATAATTTACACTGTAGCTGTACAAGCACATGGGATTATGGTGAAAGTAAAGTAAAGTAAAATTTATGACATCACATCATCACACATGTCTACAAAATATCATCGCACTGTGTGAAAAAATATATAATAAATATTATAATAATATAGGGGTTAAAGAAAACAACAAATAATTTTTCTAAAAGTCATGTTCAATGATATGAATGTAAACAGCGAGACACATTGAATGTAGACTAAGAGACAGGCGTGTAACTATGTATCTCCCTTCTACAACAAATAATGCAGATGATGAAGATATAATGACCACATTAAGGGGGGGGGGGGGGGGGGGGGGGGGGCTGAATTCAGGTACCATTGTTCTCGGCTGACTGCCTCTTGGGAAATTCTGCTTGTATATAATATATAATACATTTAGATATATATCTAAATGTTCGACTAGGTATATTTAGTGGGTTTCTTTCTCTAGAAAACTATCAGTGGTAAAAGTCACAGAGTAAGTGCTGTGTTTACAGACACTAACCCAACTTGTGTGTTTTAGAACATTTTAGAACATTTTAGCTAAACGTGATGTTCAGAGCCACCCGCCGTAAAACACAATTTTCTAACTTCTGATTTACTGCAATTATGACGTTAGCACTCTGAACTCTACTCAACATCTCGTTTCGTTACTTCAATGCCTCCTCTCGTTTAATGACATAAACTGTGTTCTGTGTCTAATCTTTACTTCTACTCATGTTACGATTTAACAGAACCTGAAGGAAATGAAGCGTAGATTAAAATATATTTTTAATTTCTCTGATATTGACAATATACGAGTTACGAAGTCAATTCAGTATATTTTACAGCTGGGGGCAATATTTTCGCACGGTTCTATTTTATGATAATTTATTGCTGTACTCTGTAAATTTGAAAATAAAAAATAAAAATGTTAGAATTTATTCAGATGAGGTGCATCGTACTTTCAGCAACGATTAAAATAAGATGCAGATTGTCACGTGTCAATTGTCAATTGTCAAACCAATATAAAACCACATTCCAAGATGCAGCATACTATAACTACTACTACTGCTAAGTGTGGAGTGTATCCGGTGCTGATGCATTTGAAAACACTGTATAATTAATTGTCAAAACACTATTATAATATTTTGTTGTTTTTACAGGATACATTAAACTTATGATAATACACATATTTATAGTAAACACATATTATTATAATGGTAGCTTGTAGTGTAACTCAGCCTGCTTTGGTGTAAGATATTTTAATTAACTAGAGAGTTATAAATAGGTCATAAACAGTCATAAACAGTCATAAACATGTCATAAACATGTCATAAACAGTCATAAACATGTCGTAAACAGTCATAAACATGTCATAAACATGTCATAAACATGTCATAAAGTTGTCATTAACGTGCAAATTGTACTATTGTAACTGTTGTTACAATCAACGTCAGTCATAAAAATGTCAAGACACGTGCAACAGACAGTTTAGTTGGCGTTATGCCTCATGGTTCAGGTAGACTCCGCAAGCATTCTTGTGTCCGCACTATGTAAATCTCTTCAGTTGAGTAACGGCTTCCGCCTAGGGCTCCCAGTGAATTTACAACTAAATTCTCTTTTTGAAGGCTGATTGGTTGATAGCTGTCACGTGTCAGTAGAAATATACCTCCAGATCTACAAAGCTGCGTGTTGTCACGTGAGGGAGTGTGACGTCACGTGAGGGAGTGTGACGTCACACTCCCCTCACATGTCAGTAGAAATATGGTTCACCTCCCAACAGTATCCAGACCTATAAAACTGATATCTCTTACATGTGGTCAAGTAGCTCCTTTGTAAACATAGTTCTTACTCCACGCCTTCAATTAGCTGATTAGTCTGATATTAGCTGATTGCAGTTTACTAGCGGTTCTTAAGAAACCAAGCAAAAAGTTATTGAATTTACTGATTTAGTACTTAGAATACGAATTACACGTGTCTGTTACTATAGCAACTGTACAGAGTCACAGACTATCGTATTTTTTAATGTTTCAAGAATCCCGGCATCCAGACAAAATAGCGCTGTTCATTTACAGCGGTGATTTACTGATGTCTGAATAAGAAATTCATCAAATATAAGCAAATAATTCTTACTTAATATAATGTAGAATATTCTATTATATAATACAGACTCTTGCTGTTCTCTATCAGAAACTAAACTCTAGCAGATGGTTTATTTACCACTAAACACAACGCGCCACTGACACTGATGCACTGATATTTTAAAACTATTTTCACTGCTAAAATTAAATGCATTTATTGAGGAAAAGATGTAACAGAGTCGATATATTTTAATATTGCCATGGGGTGGCAAGTATCCATACATCGTAGTCCGATAGTTTGACTGCGTCATAATATAAGAACCTAGCAATATAAGCTCCCAATAAAATACAGTATATTTACTGTTTAGCAACAAGATGGTTTAGTGTGTCTCCTGTTAACACAGCTCTTAGTCTTCAACAAGCTAGTTCACTAGTGTCCACCTTCTCTTTTACAGACCAAGCTAACATAAGCAGATAGTTTTGTAGCTGGGCTCTACTTAGAGGTATCTATTAGAAACCCACCAAATATTCCTAAAATTCAATATTAAATACTCTAATTTCTCTTATAATACTGCATGGTATTTAAGGTTCTTTGCCAGAAACCAAACAGATACTATGAGATAGTTCTAGAGCTAATACTAAACTGTCCCTGTAACTGTGACTGACAAGTTGGTTAGTACTGTCGTTACAAACACAGTTCTAACTTTAGGTCTACCTTTTTAATCAGAAACCGCGCAAATATCTACAAACAGCTCTACAAATAGTTCTAGAACTATCAGAATTATTAGAATTCAGCACTAACTACTCCATATCAGTTCTACAGTCCTCACTGTAATACTCCGCTGTACTCCACACTGTACTAACCATAGCACTAAATTCAGCACTGTACTACTTCAGTTCCTCCACTGCTTATTATCTCTTCATACTCTACTTATCAGTTCTACACTCTACTTATCAGTTCTACACTCTACTTATCAGTTCTACACTTTACTCATCAGTTCCCTCCCCACATTCTACTACACACTGTACTAACTCTAGCACGTCTAGACTGGCAGGCACTGTAAATCTTATAAGTAATTATACTAATAATATCGGACAGTACTGTCAACTGTATCATCTCTCGGAGTATTCTTATCTGTATAATGTAGAGCAATACTCTGTATGCAGCAGTGGTATTTGTAATACTTACACTTTTCAACTGTTATCTTACTGTTTGTAAAGCGAGATGATATTTTTGCAAATATAATTAGATACATTTATTGGGTATTATGTAATGGGATGGAAGCAGTTTAACCAGCAGCTACTCAACACCCTGGCTTCATAATATGAAGAATTTGTAAGCTAGTATACCTTGGGATGTTACGATATATTTCCCCCATTTCCAATAATACTATTCTGTGTACAAAGTAATATTAGAACGCTAGAGCTCTCTGTGCTGTCTGTAGAAATATATAATTTTTTTTCAGATGTTGTAAAATGTTTGTGATGATATTCCATGTTGAAGACTAAGAAGGATATTTAATAGTCGGATCCCAACCGTTCTAAAAGGCTATCTCGTTAGCTTTTCGCGTTACAAGCGATTTCTCAACGGTTATCACCTCTCTAGATGATTCTTAAAACATTTGGACTTCATTGCATTTTTGAAATAAATGCAATGAGGGCGTTTTCGGCCACACCCTTTTTCAGGGTTTTGCGGTCACGCGAATTTTTGTATTTTGGCCCAGGAAGGTCTTAAAGACTATTTCGATACACCAAAATGTGCCTAATAGCCACATTTATATACAACTTATGAAGCACAATATACCTTAAAATGCTTTGTTTCGGAAATATGGCCGAAAAACGGTTTTTGGCTTGACGCAGTTCATAATTTCCGTGATTTTTGGCATTTCCGCCTAGGAAGGTCTTAGAGACTATTCTGATACACTAAAATGTACATAATGGCCACATTTATATACAACTTATGAAGCAACATATACCCTAAAAGGCTTACTTTCGGAAATGTGGCTGAAAAACGGATTTTTGCCCCGCGAACAATGACAATGACAATGACAATATTCACAAATGGGCTATTGGACTGTTAACTAGAAAGGTTTGTTAAAGACTCATGAGCAACATAGCATTTGTCACAAGATGTAAGACGACTCACTTTGTGTCCAGAAACACCTACAAAAATTGGAGAATGATTTACTTTATTGGGCATCTCTCTTTAATGGGCCAGGACAGCAGCATATTTGTGTCTTACGAAAGGGAAATTTTTTAAATTACGGTTTCTTAAGGTCAAAGGATCTTACAGCAAATTGTTCGCAATTGCCGACTCATGCACGTCATATACTCAAAAACGCTCACTTTAGGAGTCATTAGTAAATAACTACTACATGATTTGTGACAGCTCCAACAATTTTTCCTTGGCACCAATTTAAATAAAATGTATTGACCAAAATTCAACTTCAAACTTTTTATTTATTCATGCCATGAAACCATGATAAATGTACCAATAATACCGGACCTAAAATAAATCGGCACTGGATCCGGGCCAGATTGTTGCTTGACCGCTCGCGCTGACCAGTGTCCAGTACCCCACTTTATAATTATGATTGATTTCGCTGCCTCGAACAATATTGATCTGTAATCCCTGGATTGAGATCTGTTGGCCGCAATTTAATTTAGCTAATTTCCTATAATACCGCAGTGGTTTGGTTCCTACTTCAGAATGACCCCATATTCTTTTTTTCAGTCGCATAGATTTTATATGATAATGCGTGTATGATAATGCGTGTCATTCCCTCGTTTTTTATCAAGTGGTGACTGGCTAGTTCTTCTTTTATTACAGCTGTGAGCTGCCTCGAGATCTTAACTGGGGCATAGGCACTAATACTAGAAC